ATTTAAAAAGGATCCTAAAGCGGATCCAATCATGGAGTTCGGCGGCGCGATGTTCCCGACGATGTCGCCGCGAATAAGTGAGCTCTACGGGGCCAGTAACGGTGCGTTCCGTGTAGGAGAGGCGGATGCTTACGCTCAGGACCTAGACGAGCTCGAGCGTGAAGAGCGAGCGCTGGAAAATATGGTTCAGGAGCTGGTGAACCGAAAAGCCGCAGTTCCTATTGGCGCCAAATTTCACCGTGAAGGCACCGGCAACGTGGCGCAGCAGGTGGCGACAGGTGCTGACAGTTTTAGAGACAGCGATGTGCCTCTGGGTCCGGATACTCAGTTCGTACGGTCGAGCTCGTCTGAAGAAGAGCTTGAAGAAGAAATGGACGAAGACGAAATGATGGACGAGGACGACTCCGAAGAGGAGACGACAGGTAGGGCGACCATTGTGCGGGTAGAAAGACAGCAGAGAGACGAAGACCCGTTCACCCGGGGTATCGATTCAGGAGATGACTCAATGGAGATGGAGGAGGAGCTGCTACCTCCAAGCGACTGGCATTAACATATTGCAAACAGTATCCATGGGCTGTAGCTTGCTGCTGCATCACGTTCTTATTAACGGAAGCATTCTAGTTTTTAAAAGGCTGGCTTATCATATCACTAGACGTTGGTGAAGTTGTTTTGCTTCCACACTAGGTAAAAAAAGGCTGTACTTTTGTTTGTTGCTCTATTGTGAATTCCGTCCAAATTTGCCGATTTGGGTCTGTTTGAGGGACAATCGCCCTCATACAAATCCAAGTAGAAAGTGTTTTGTTACCACATATCATGATCTTATTTCGTACTTAAACGGGTCAGTATACGGTATACGCTGGGCGATTTTGGGGCCATGGAAATTTTGGGTAGAGCTCATAATACTTCCTTTTTGAAATGATGTTGAGCGCATAATTTTTAATTCATTACCGTTTTTGACAATTATATTAGAATAAAACTAAAACTATTGTATATTGTCAATATTTCATTTTCAACCATGAGGGAGGTCGAAGCAGGGCAAGAGGACGCTAGTGCGACGGCCTCGACCTCAGCGGGCGAGACCGCGCTGTCGGAGATGAATGCAGCGTTTGCTAGCTGTCTGTCGCTTGTATGTCCACCCATCCAGTACCCTCCGCACTGCCGGTTTAATCCGGTTCGCGACGCGGCTGACACGGCGGAGATCGAGGCGCGTCTGGAGGAGTTTTTCCTACACGCGAAGCAGCTAGAGCAGCTGTTCCTGAACGACACGGCAGATAGCTTGTCCTCTATTAGTCTAGAGACGTCCACTGCAGAGTCAGACGCAGAAGTTGCGGGTGGACGCCAGCAGCAGAGCGAGCTGGAGCTGGAGATTCTCAACCTCGAGGCGGAGCTGGCGGAGAAGAACGACCTGATCGAGAAATACACGGACGTGGTGCGCGGTTGGGAGGGCAAATTCAAGAGATTGGACCATCGAATGTCGCCGGACAGGGAGTAAAGAGCGGAAATTTTAACAGACGAATCCAATTGGAAAGCTAGCTGCATGTTCATGTCGTATCTAACCCAAACATGCATAGAGAAGCAGGCAATAGAGAGCTTACTGAAGCGGCTCCCAGGCCTTGAGCAGTACAGCGGTCTGCTCTGGACTGCGGACGGCGATGCGCACGAACGTTGGGAGGTTGTAGCCGGGCTTGCCGCTACGCACAGGGACGCCGTGCTCCTTGGCCAGCTTGCAGGCCTCTTCGCTCGTGGCGA